CATCTGCATGTTTACAACTTCACTTGCATAATTATCAGATAATATCTTGCATTTCATGTATTTATTGATTATTCCTTTTCTTTTCTTTTTTTTTCAGTATCTTGAATTTTTGGATTACCTTTATTTAACAGTATGCTTTTGTTTGTATACTTTCTTCCAACAGTTGATGCATATTGTTGATGCATGCATTTTTTTTTTTTGCATGTTTTTTTGCAACTGCATGTTTTTTTTTCTTCGTAGTTATTTTTTGAATAAATTTTTGTAAAAATCAGATTAACAGAATGTTTTGTAACAGTGAAGATTTCGTATGAAATTTCAAAATTTTATTTTTCATAAAAATCGAAATTAACTTAACTTAGATCTTTAGAGAAATTTCTTCCAAAATGATTTTCACTAACATTTCCATATGTTTCATCTTATCTCACTTTTTAAAAAGCTAATTCGAATTATTTTTCCTTTTTTTTAGAAAGAAGAAATCAAAATTAGTCCGAATTGAGAAATATTGAAAATAAAGAAAGTAGAAGAATAAATAGAAGAAAAAAAAAGGGAAAGGTTTACCTGAAATTACATTTTCCCTGAAGCCACGTTCTCTTCCAAATAGGAACGAAAAGGAGATTATTTACGACAAATAGGATCGTTAAACTTTTAGTTAGAATCAAAAATCTTGAAATAATTCATAAAATGACTGATTACTTCTTTGTTTTTTCTCATTTTTCAATCTAAAAATTCATCTTATATGAATATAAATATGATGACGGATTTATTTCTTAAGCTTTTCAACATCCGAACAAATGACATAGCAACAATTGCTTATGATAGAAATGACCAATGTAACCATGGCAATGGTCATAAATACAATGACAACAACATTTTAAAGTACCATGAATTCACTCACGTGTAGTTGACACAAATCAATTCCAATATTTGAAATTTTGAAATAAAATAAATCTAAACTTTTTTATGCTACTGCTCATTTCTCATTACTTCAGCAAACTGTCAAACATTAAAAATTTGAATTGTTAACAATAGAATTCAGAAAATTCAAACAAAAAATTTTGAATTCAAAAATTTCATCGAAATTTAAAACTTCAAAAGTGTCAAAGAAAAGTGATAAAAATATATATATACATTAAAAAAAAAAGAAAATAGCATAGATAATGATATGTCATAGGATCTTGAAAAGAAATAATGAAAATACAACTCTTCCTAACTCATATTACTGTCAATTATTCAATGTAATGAAAGAGTACATATCATTAGATGATAATATTAATTTAATAAATGTTATAATCAATTGAAGATGAAAAAATTCATTTACCAATTATAATATGACACATTACTCTGTGATCAAAAAAAAATGTCACATAACAAATTTGCGCAAATGTTAATTACTGCTAAAATTGAAATTTAACAAATCATTTGATACTATTATCATTATAAAAACGTAACAATCAAATGTTTACCTTCATTTCCTTAATTAATAACAACAAGAGTTATCTCTTATCTCTTATCAAGTTATGTCTTAACGTATGGGTGTTGTATACAATATAACGATAACGTATGGATCATATGTTTATAATTGATAAAATTTTGTGATATAAATAGTAAGATGGATATAAAATATTTTGTGATATAAATAATAATAAGTAAAAGTATAACAAAAGTTTTGTTTTACTGGAAGATTCATTTTATTTAATTCAAAAAAAAAGAACGTGAGTTGGATAATGTACTAGACAGTTTGTTATTTGTATTTATAGTTTGTATCTTTTATGGAATAATCTTTAGTATCGGTTAAAAAATTGTTCATTTTAATTCTTAAATTCTATAATTAATAAATTTCTGAGATAGTAAGCTCAGAAATAGCAAAAATCAGAATGAGGTGTTAAAGAAATTTATTTTTCCACCGTATCTGTATCATCCCGAATATCCCTCAGAAATCTACCAGATGGATACAGTAACTGTAATATTAAAAACAACTTGTTCGTTATTTGTTTATGATATAATTAAGCCAGTATTGCGTTTGCTTTTCTAATGTGAGCAATGTTAATGATATATAGAAATTGAGATCACTTTTTAAATTTTTTAAGGTTAATCATTCGAATATGCTAAAAATTCTAGCTAATTATCTACAATCAAATTAACTCGACGTGCACTGAAACAATGTTAAGTATCAGCTGATACAAATATTGAAGTAATGACAATGATAATTAATAATTAAAGTACTAAGTAGTGATAATGGTGATAATAATAAGTAGTGATAATAATAATAATAAAAATAATAATAATAATAACAATAATAATAATAATAATAATGATAATAATAATAATAATAATAATAATAATAATAATAATAATAATAATAATAATAATAATAATAATAATAATAATAATAATAATAATAATAATAATAATAAATAATGGTAATAATAATAATAATAATAGTGATAATAATAATAAATGTTTTACCCGCCTACATAATCATCCATTAATTCATTAATTCATATTATGCTATGAATGTCATTTCAATTATCCGAATTATATGCATGTTCCGATCATGACCTCACTTCACATGGCGCTATCATGTTACATATCATTTATGGCGCTAAGAGTCCACTAATATTAGTTTTACATTTTTTAAGTTATCAACGACTTAAATAACTGAAATAAGAAAAAAAGTGATTTTGAACAAATGCGCTCACCGATTGAATTTGAACATCAAACACCAAAATAAGCTAATTTAATTAAATGCGACAAGATAGAACATGTATTGTTGGTATCGTCCTTGTAAGCATTTTTGTAATGTTTTTTTTCTTTTTCATTTCTTTTCTTAATTTCGATATTTCTATAAAAATCTTATCATCTTTTATTTATAAAATTTTCAAATACCAATGTTAAATCAAAGTT